TTTGTCCTAATTCTCTTTCATATTACATATACTATCTGAACCTCAGTAATAACAGTGTGAGGGGAAGCTGCACAATGACCCTCTTCCACTATTGTAAACTTGTTAGCTGTCAAACTAAAAATGAAAAGAAAATGAACGGGTAAAGGCTACAGCCATTATGATTTCCACACTACGTGAACACAATACAGAAAAAACAAAACGGTATGTAAATTATATACTATACATGCATAATGTGAGTCGGGGGGAGGGCTGCTTTTTTTGTGAAAAGATGAGAAAATAAATACAAAAGAAACGATCGCAGAGGTGGATCTTCACTATGTGAGTTAATATGATGCGTTACTGCTGGCGGGCTTCGTTACACACGACTTGGTTTGCCTTTAAAAAGGAAATATCGTAAATGGACGTGTACGAGCCCATGTTGAGTATGTTTGCATATACAGGTACAGTCACTTAAAGGCTACATCAATCAGACCAGCTGACTGATGAGCTTGAGGCTTTCTGTAGTTGCGAATTATCTACAAAATATTGTTGGCAGTTGTCGAAGGAGGTGAAGGTAATGAAACGCTGAGACCAGACAAGTTGGTTTGAGTGGCTGGGAGCTGAACATTCAGCTTTCAAATCCTCCCAATGTGTTGCAGCACCTTATGTGTCCAGCAGGGTGTAGTCTCACATTAGGGCATGCTGAAAAGACTAATGATTACAGCTATGGCTATCTCCAGTTACATGAAGTCCTCATGCTGTTCTCCATCGTCGTCTAGTGTGGTGAAAATTTACCTTCTTTTTTTATTATATTTTTTGCCTGTAGCAGACTGAATTTGAATCTTTAATTCCCAACAGCCAAGAACTGAGGTGCAGACAAATCTTCAGGCAGAAGTAGGGATGATCCACGTTAGTCCCATATGTTTTACTGCATGTCCCGCAGGGCTGACGGAGAACGTATGAATCGGACGCCTTTGAGACTCTTAAACACACACACATACACACAAGGATTCCTCTGATGACAGAAATGCTGCTGACACTTGACGTAAGTGAGGGTGAGTCATCATCATTTCTTGTTGGCTATCCTCCTCTTCCTGGTGGCCAGCATGTCGTAGAAAGGATCCCTGCTGATGCTTGCTCTGTGGAGGACAGGAAGGAACAGATTTAACAACGACAACACCTATTTTTAATATCAGCAAAACTGCTTCTATCTAGTCTGTCTGTGTCAGCCCTGCGACAGGCTGATGGTTTTTCCGGGATGTACCCT